CACGTTCGTCCGTTTCAAATGCAAATAACTTAAGTAGGCATCCCCTTGTTACCCATTACTAATACCATAAAAGAAACCAACACTTCTCCATTCCGCTGCTACTTTACGGATTAGCGAATGAAAATTAGATGCATTTATATGGTTATTACTTATATGGTCACACAGTGGGGAGGGGGGATTTATCCAAGCGTACAGTGCAGCGCCAGAATCTCCCTCAGGAACGAACCGCTCGCACCTTCGGCAGCTGGGGGTGGATTAGAGTTTTAAACCCGGACTACGGTTTACTGCGGCCGGCAACACTGACAGGAATTCCTCCTGCCGTTGCCGGCAAACAAAGCCGGGCAACGCGGAGAGGAATAAAACATCAGAGGTTTTCTCCTCTCCTGTTTAGGCAGAAGTTTTCAGTAATCGCAATCGCTGTTTTGAGAGCTTAGCATTTGGCGTCACAAGTGGGATTTTATCTGCGATAGAAGCGAGAAACAGAACTGGGCTTCTCTAGAAAACTTTACTAAGACGCATTCAAACAAGCCGCAGCTGTCACTCTGACATCACGTCACGTCTTTTGTGACAGTGCCGAAAAGTTTGCTCCCATCTTTCCCAAAGAGCTTTACTGATGTGGCTGCTCTACGCCGTTCTCTGACGGACATGATGGCTTGTCAGCGTTGCGCTGGGGTTTTTAAAATATACAGCGAGTCGCATTATAAAGACCTTCGTGGAGGGGGTGAAGGCTCGAGGGGGGAGACGGCGGACTGAGAGAAAATCCATAACACAAATACAGCTGTCAGCTGGAACGCAAAGTTAGCAGAAGCAGCTTCGGTGGCCACAGGGAGCAAGTTTATGACTTCAGCTTGCATCCTCCCTTAGACACTATCTAGGCTTCAGTAATCAATACACAGTGTTCTTTGTCACTCCAACAGGTACCTGAATCTGTTTCGGGCAAAAAAGGCCAGTTGTAACTCTTTCAAGCAGGTATCCACATGTGACCGACCATGCAGCGCACTAGTTCGCTTTCAATCCGCGTCCGCAGCTCAGAGCTGCCAATAATCTCTCCCGAGGTGCTCGGCTAATGGATATAGAGAAGTAATGATCAACGCCTCAGACTCAAGTACTGTCATTTCCGTCCAGTGAACACCCTGCTTTTCCTTCTACCACATTTCCCCAGCTTATCGGAAATGGGCCCTTCCTCTCTCTAAGCAAACGCTAGGGTCATTCTTTAAGACAGTCATCACCTCATAACAGCCTGGCACTCTCCCGAATCCCGGCGTGAAGCCTCCCCACACAGGAAACCTTGTGCGCAAAAACTGCACACAAAAAAATGTGCCACTGAGGTCACAGTAAAGAGAAACTGTGCTTAAGAGTTCAAGTGGAGAATTAAATTCACATTGGGAATAAATAGACATAGGAAAACAATGTCCAGCAGCATCTTCAGCTGACGGATCGCCGAGACAGCATTTCCGCACTGCAGTCTGGTCTCTCTCAAAGTTGAAACAGTCAACGGCAGACCTTTTCGATATCTAGCTCAACTAATCAGATCAACATTGTCATCTGGAAAACATCCGTCACTCTGGTCTCTTTTGTCTTTTCGGTTTTTGATTTGCAGATGCTGAAGTTGGTTGAAATTGCTTTAGTGTCTTTTTTAGAGTAGTTAGTTCCTTTTTTTTTCCCTCTTTCAAGGCTCAGAGTTTGAGGAGAAAATGACACCACTCTCTGACTAGTAATAAAAGCAGCTCTCACTGTCTAAAAACGTGCATAATTTATGATTCACATACACTGAAAAATGCCCAGCCTCGCCGTTCCACCAAATAACATCGTCAATTAAAACCACATGTTTAATCTACGGCTGGTGCTCGCTGCTGGTCAACGCCAGAGCTGACGCGTTTAAAGACGCAAACGAGCGTAAAAATTACAGCCTGACCTTTCACGTAAGGTCAGCTGAAATATGAAAGAGAGAACGTAGGCATGACATATTTCACACAAACATGTTTCGGAGAGCAGAAGTGGCCAAAAGTGTGGTTGACAAAAAATAATCCTAATCAGTTAGAGATGGATATGTATTGCTCTTCAAAATGCTTTAGCTAAAAATGCACTTGTGTGAAAACTAACATTATTTTTGGAACGGTAAAAGAGTTTAATGGTGGAAATGCCATGTGAGGGTCTAAGGGACAGTGCTTCATGAGAACAAGAGTGCTTTGTGTTAAAACCACCCATGATATTGAAAAACTTAAATTTACCTCTAAATCACTTCACTAAGGCTCATCTGAATTTGAAAAAAAAAGCACACACACAAAGCACTAAATGCTTTTTGCACAGCACACGCCGACATATATTTGCATTAGCATGGAACCGGTTGTTCAAATAAAGTTTCAATCACCAAATGTTCCTAAAATATGCATCAAAAAGCAACATGCCTGAATGTACACCTGGCATCAGGTTAGTCTCAACATCCAAAACAAACACATTCCTGACCTTCTCTCTACCCAGAAAAATACCCACATTGGACTAAATACCAGCCTGCCATGCAATCCACACATTCATCAAAATATCGTATTTGAAAGACCTCCGAAAGTGAGGTTTGTAGTCTGTATAAACATGGAGAACAACATAAAACAAAATCACTTATCACAGAAAAAGTGATACATCACCAATTATAACGAACTCTACGGTAGTCTGGTGTCCGCCGTTAGAAACAAGAGTGCTAAAACTATCGGCTGAGGTGTAGCTGTTGCCGCCTGCAGCTGCTTGACGGCCATGCAAATAACTAAATTACCCACTTTACTGCCATTTTCATGCCCTCCCTGAACGAAATGCCATATTCTTTGTCAACTTCATGAATTATCACTTTTCCTCTATAAGCACATAAAATCATTCAATCACTCTATTCATCTAACACACAAGCAGATCAAATGGAATTTGTATTCATCACTTTATGCTTATGTTCATCTACATCTACATTTACACATGTCACATTTCAATTAGCATGGAATCTATTCATTATAAGAGGCAATATATCAAAGAACAGACATTTTAGGAGCACAAGTGCAGCACTGAGACAAAAAAAGTGTTTTAGTAGAAGAAAAATTATTTGTCTGATTAAATAAAATAAATATTTTATGAAATTAAGCTTTCAGAAAATAAATGCCAATGCCCTTTCGTGTGTTTTTAAACGCTGTTAGTAATACTAAACACGAAATAATTAAAAGATTAAACAAAATAAAAATATCAGAAACACTTTATGACATCAAAGTAAATCATTTATCGTTCTCCTTGAATTTTCAAAAAGATTCATCTTGTGATTTGGCATGCATTGTGCTGTAAATGCCAACAGTGAATTAAGTCAACATTCAACCAATACTTTCTATGAAATTTAAATTAATTGTGTCAAAAGCTCCATCAATCAGTCCTTATTAACATGAGATTAACACACACTGACAGGTTATGAGGAGAATGAAGATGATGATGATGATGTGTGTGTAGGCTTAATATACACACACACACACACACACAAGTACACAAAGAGTCTGAATTACTAGTGTACTTGGTTTAACTCCTAAGCTGTACTTCCCTCTGCAGATTCACTTTTAATGCCAGGGACTCACGTTAAAATTGTTGTTTTGTTTTGTTTTAATTTTGCTGTTGTCTTTGAGAGAGAAACAAACAGCGCTGATGATCACGAAACGAACAAGAAACCATTAAACATATGGTTTAAAAATAAAATTAAAAGTTAATGTTGCTCATGCATCTGTGTAAAAATTAATCCCTAAATAAAGAAATTACGTTTTTCATCACTGAAGTTAGTCAGCAATATGTTCGTAAAGGCGATGCAAAAAAAAAAGACCAATTAAAAATATATATTTTATTTTGATGTGCAAACCTAATAACGTTTCATCAATTTTAAAATCTGATTTTGCATCTATACAAACCTTACTCGTGTAGCCTATATCGCTGTAATTGATGCATTCGAAATAATACTCATTTATAGGCCTAAGTATAATAATAAATAATCAATACATGCAGAGTTAATCTTACTTTTAGATTTCTTTTATTTCATTCCTTACATTTTTTTATATTCCAGTCTCAGTAACACACCGCTAATAGACCCTAAAACAACTATTAACAAACTTCAATACGTTTAATTTATTTTTGTTTTTACTTTCTGTTATAGCCTAATTTTAAAACGCTAAATTATTACTTCAAAACATTGTATCTTATAGATATGAAAACGTATGAATCAGAAGGCATGGGATATGAGATCAAATCACTATTTGCTGAGAGCCTTTTAAAAACAATCAACTACACGGAGAATAAGAAAAACAAATGTGCATTAAGCCGTGGTTTAACTTTTTAGTTTACGGTAGCCTCATATTTCGATGCTGTTTATTAACTTTGAGTGGTTTATCCGGAGAGTTTTGTCTCAAAGACCAAAAAAATATGTGATTTCTACATTTCTATGGAATGTCAAGAGAAAACAAATCCATACTAACATTTATTTATTAAAAATTACTTTATCTGATCGGTCAAAAATAATCCTTTTTTTTTATTTTGATTTCAGAATTCAGATCTCAGATCTCGGAGCAGGTGATATTTTCAAACTCAGCTGCACGTTCAATAAACTTGTTATATTCTTTTCTACCATCGTGGTTCATTTTTTAATGTAAAAGACTTCAAAGTCATCATTTATTTTGTCAAAAATGTCTCTAATTTATAATCATGTATTATTCTCTCGTGGAGAACAACAACACGCGTTCATCTCCGGTTTAAAAGTGTCACGTAAAAAAAAGTTAGATTGTCTAATTCATTGTGATACTAGGAGCTTCCCATTTGCAAAACATCTAAGAAAATACACTGATATTTCTTTCTATTGATCCGAAGAAGCGTGTGTGTGATAGCGCGTCCGAGCATTCAAATCTGGGATAGGCTATTAAAATCGCGTAAGAAGCGAGGCGTAAAGTAGAAGAAGAAGAAAGAATGAAAAAGAAGAAGTAAAAAAAGTGGATATGAACCTGTTAGGATATTGTGAAGAACTCTACTTTCACTCTACGGCTGGACCATGTGGATGTGTCGCTCCAGCTCTCGTGAATGTCCCAGCGATTCCAGAAAGCTTCAGAAGAGCAACGCAAAAAGAAAAAAAAAATCCTGTTCTATGAGTGATGTCTTCAGACCATTACTTTCAACGACAACTGTCTTTATTAGTCTTCTTTTCCTTTTTTACTGGCGTCCTCTCTCAGACTGGTCACTCAGTAGGGTGATAAGTGGAAACAATAATCGTGCACTAGCTCAAAGGCTGCATGGTCACAGCGCTCCTCAAAGTTCATGAAGAACAAGCACGCGGCTCTTTACGCCTCCCCGTCGCTTCAGGTCTTCCCTCTTTCTCTCTGTTATCACACGGTGAGTTTTCCTAAAGTCCCAATAATGCTTCTCGCTGGAGTTTTTGGCATCTCGTCTGTTCCTCGCTCATTCGCAGAGAAATCAGTGTTGAATTACTCCGCTTGTGTCTTGTGTTGGCGATGTTAGGGGACAGTTTGGTCTACCGTAATACGCCGAGAACGGGCGCGCGTGCACATCTTCTGCGCTGACGGAGCTTGTAGCACAATACAAAAGCTCGCGCGCTCCAGGCGCTGATCTCTTCACCTGCGCGCGCATCGCTGGTTTAGTTTGGCCATTGTGGCAGCCGAGGAGCAACAGATGTTAGTCAAAGGACAGACTCACCAAGGGAACCGTTACCTTAGTCCACATATACTCTTCAGGAAATAACAAGTCTGTTCATGCTGCTTGTCATCATTCAATCTGGTTTTGTTGTAAGAGTTATTATATTTTTCCTAAAATGTGTTGTTTTAAATGTTATTATTTATTTTTTAAGTAGGTAGGCCTATATTATCATTTTCAATGTTATTCTAGATAGATATAGATAAATAGAAAGATAGGCTACCATTGTATGCAATAAAATAATTTATATGCATGTATAAGACACACACAAATAGTAAATGATTTGTGTGTTATTGTACTATTATTGAAAAACATCACTCGTGACCGATTTAGGCAATTGTTGATTTATGAATATCACTCCAACTTTCAATGGATAGCCTAGTCAATAATCTGTCAGTAATCTGTCATTTTATCAAAAAAGTTTAAATATGATTTATTTTATGGTCAGTGCCAGTGGAAACTTTCTCTCAGCAAAAAATGCCTTTTACTTGAACCATCAAAAAAAATTATTCACATCTCCACTGGACAATAGGATACGACCCCCATTAGTCAAGACATATTCATTAGAAAAATCAATAACCCAAGATGTAGCCATGCTGGCCTAAAATGAAGGAAGGCAGCAGGCTCACATAGGCTCATAAAACAATGCTGACTTCACTTCTATGTCCTGCCATATGGACCTCAAGTCCTGGCCAAATAACGGCAGCCTTATTGCACTTTAAGACAGAATGATGTACTGAAAAAAATGTAGTTTGTCAACTTTTTGAAGTAACTACAGCATGTTTAATCATTAATCTGATGAGGAAGTTTGCACACAGATTAAAAAACGAAAACATTTTAGAAGCAAGCAGAATATTTGAAGGTTTCCCCCTTCCATATAGCGCTTTGAGTAGAAAAGCGCTATATAAATGTAAATTATTAACAAATTAAGGGACGAAAGAAGATTCTAAAACGAATATGTGCATGTTTGCAATGTTCCCTGTCAGATTAACATGATTAAACACACAGACACAGATTTTTAAAACTTCTTTTGCCTCGTGCACATGATCAAGTACGGCAATCAGATACATTGGTAAGACGGACAGAAGGAGATTCGGTCTGCTCACCATCACGGGGTTAAGATTAAACACTCTTGTGGTTTGGCCTTCACAGGCTAATGAGGCACTCATGAAAGGATTACACCAAGAACCCATAGGATGACTGACTCTCTAACTAACTTACCTACATACAGTTCACCTCTCACAGCACACACACACACCTGCAAACAAGATCACGGCTGGATATTGAAGAGATAGACTCAAGGTCAAGAGTTTAGACAAACCCAGAGATGATCAATTAAACAAGGCAATTTAAACACATTCGCCTTTGTCCTTCCATTAATCACGTTGCATTATCTTTCGGTACATCATTTGGATGCATCGAGATCTGGAATATGTCTCGTTTCTAAATAAAATGCCATATTTGCTAATGAGCTTTCACATTTTTGAGGGACAAAATGAGTCCATTAAAGTTGTACTTCCGTTCACACAGACTCGGTAAGCCAGTTTGATTAGTAATGTTGTGACATGCCATCATATGACCACAAGGAGGGCGAATTCTCACTCGGCTAAAGATCTGGATGTTTGTTACCTCATCAGTCCCAAAGCTGACATCAAAGCTGCGGATCAAGTCCAGAAGTATCACTGTTACGCTCCCTGAGAACCATGCATACTCAGACACTCACATATAGAGACAAGTACATGGATTTAGTTTGTATTTTCATCATTTTTATTAAATAAACAGTATTGGACTCTTGTTTCCTCTCTCCTCTGCTGCAGGAATACCACCAGAAATGCCGGGGGACATGGAAAACAACACATTTACCCTATGTTATTTGTTTACTCGTTCCTCTGCTTGTTCTTTTCAGACTCTGTTTCTCACTCCCGCCATGCAGGCAATGGGATATTCGATGGTGGTGATGCTATCTTCGTGTGTCTGTTTGCTTGTTTACTTGTTTGTGCTCGGATAATGTCCTTAGGGACCGCAAACAAGACCAACAACGCTGGGGAAGAAACCCTTCAGTCTATAAGGGCATTGCTGGACTAAAGCAAGGACACTGCAAGAGAAGTGCTATGCAGCCCTATTACATATTACAGGCGAAGACAAAGGTGAGTGTCTTAGTCACTGTAATCTAATAACATTCTCTTTTATGAATGAAAAAATAAAAACTCCTCAGCACTTTCATCCAGCACTTTCGATTAACATTTAAGAGCAGGCTTTGTGGTTAATCAGGGGTAATAATTATCAAAGTCGACAGGTAATTAAATTAAACATAATTGGCTACACGAATTGGCTGTTCTACAACATTTTCTCCTCACATAATTAAAGAGAAATATGTCAGTATTCAGAGAGAGAATGACTTAAAAACAATAAAAAGTGTTTAGTCACACTAGTTGATGTTAATTGCTTACAAGGAGTGTTAAAACTGATATAAAGTTAGTATTGCCCAATCTAATAATACCATTCAGTCCGTAAACAGACCACTTTAATGGAATATTCTGGGTTCAACACAAAATATGCTCAATAGACAGCATTTGTGGCGTTATGTTGATTGAAAAATTATTTTGGCTTATCTCTTTTTTTTTCTTCCCAAAAAAAAAAAAAAAAAAGCTAAAATCAAGGTTACAGTATGGCATTTACAACTAAAGTGAATGGGGCCAATTTTTGAGAAATTTCTAAGCATACATGTGACATTTTATATTTTCTAATATTAAAAAGATAAACTTGAATTAATATTTAGTGTTACATTGCCATGGCAACAAAGTTATAAAAAGATTTTCAAGATAAATAATAAAAAAAGAAAAAGTTCTTAAAATCATAACAACATGCATATTGTTTACGTCTTCTGACAGCACTTTTGAAAAAATGAGTATTTAACATTTACGGATTGGTCCCATTCATATTCCATTTCAATGTAACCCAGATTTTGCTGCTGCTTTTTTTTTTTTTTTTTTATAATGAAGTTGGAAATCATTTTGGTGGTATCACCATTATGCCACAAGTGTTGTTGATTGAGTTTTTGATATTTCATAAAGTCTTCAATATCAGACTTTGTTATATTAAAAATAATAAATTCAGAGGGGGGAAAGTTTGGGGTTATACTATGCAGGTTTGGTGTCATAATCTACATTCAGTGAGACTAAGCAAAAGCTAAGGTCACTTGTTAAATGTGCCAATGGCCAGTGACAGAGACACTGCAACAGATCTCTCCATCACACACACACACACACTCAAAGGCCACAGATGACAGGCCGTTGCCTAAGGACAGAGCAGAAAGTTTAGTGAGTGTGTCTGCGTTTATGTAAACTGTAGCTATTTGTGGTATTAAGCTCAAAATGCTTTAACTGCCATGTGGGAGTAATGTAGTAAAAAAAATAACACTGTAAAATAAAATATAAATTATTATAGTGTTTACAAACATACCCTAAGGTCCTTCCTGGCAAAGGGAATTTATGTAGAACCAACCCTTGAGTTTTCATGGGAAAATGGGAAGAAAAAAGTCAAAAGAGCTATTCTATAGAAACTGTAGCTACCTCAGAACAAGACACTATGATGACAGCTGCCACTGTTTGCCACAAGACAGTGGCAGTGTATGCGATACAAATTACACTGTTTGATTGAGGAAGATCATAGACACACCAGCATATTTTCATTAAATCGTCATAAACGTGTTTACAGGCACAGCTGGCTTCAGTTAGAGGGTGTTAAACAACACAGCACGGTATTGTTTACTGCTTCACCGCCGTGTTCTGTCCCTCTTTCTCTCCCAGGTCTTTCCCCTCACACTCGTCTTTTTGTCAACAGTCTATTCATCCTCACATAAACCACATTGCCGAGCTGTCTTCGGGGAGCGGTAACTGATCCTAACGGCCCATGTCATGCGAGGAACTTCATCTTGAATAAAGCTGTCAAAAAAAAAAAATCAGATCAGTCGGGAAAGAAAAAAACGGGCTGGGATGAGGCCAGCGTTTAACGAGCTGTTTTAAGGTGCCGCGTTTTTAGACAGAAAAAAAGGGGTTCAAATCTTGCCTGGGGCCACTTAGGAGGAGCTGACCGACTCGGCGCAGCTGTAGCCCCGCCACAGAGGCTCTGCGAGTGGGCTGAAGTGTCACCTGGCTCCCCTGAGAATAGCGAGGGGTGATGGGAGAAGCAGGGCAGCGGGATTGTGGGAGGGGGAGAGGAGTTTGCGAAGTTTTCATTCACCGAGCGGCTCAGAGGTGGAGCCAGCGGCGGTACACATGAGGAGAGCTGCGGATCGTACAAAAGGAGGCGGCTAAAGGGCTCTTGTTGAGGCACACACACACACACAAACCCTCTGCTCTCTTCCTCGGGTGCGATCTTGTATCAAAGCAAACAAATGACATGCTGTCTCCCCCTTTTCTTTTCTTTTTTTCTTCTTTTTTTTGATCCTGCATTCACTAAAATGACACTCCATATCTCAGCCGACTGACATTATCAATCTTCAGTATGCCTAAATCTTCCGGCCAAACTTGCAGTTCCCAGAGGGAATCTAGCGGCATTGTCCTTTGTTTGCTGTGAGATCCCACAGGAATCAGCCCTGACTTTTTCAGTGTGTGAGGAGAGCTGTCACGCAGGATGCTGGGTTAGGATAGGCACTGTCAAGCTCGCTCGGATCCGCGCCTCGTTCAGGAGCTGGAAGACAGCGCAGGCCGTGGCATTTCCACTCTCAATGCTGGATTTAGCTTCAATATAAAATACATCAGAGTTCTGTCTCCCTGCGCCGGTGTGAAAGAGACATCTGGATCTGATATGAGAGACCACAAGGGGAGCATTTAT